GTCCTTTGTAGGGACATGGATGAACCTGGAAACCATCATTCTCAGCCAACTGACACAAGAACAGAAAATCAAACACCGCCTGTTCTCATTCATAGGCGGATGTTGAACAATGAGAGCACATGGACACAGGGAGGGAAGCATCACACACTGGGGTCTGCGGGGGGAAACTAGGGGATAGACAGTGGTGGGTAGGGAGTTGGGGAGGGATATCATGGGGAGAAATGCCAGATATAGGTGATGGGGAGGAAGGCAGCAAACCACATTGCCATGTATGTACCTACGCAACAATCCTGCATGTTCTTCACATGTACCCCAAAACCTAAAATACAATAAAATATATTTTTTTTAACTTAAAGAAAAAAATTAAAAAATAAAACCACAGAGTGGTATTAGATCACAGAGGACATTGCTGGCCCTTGGGAAGTATCATGACATTTTTCTATAATAATTGGAAAGCTCCAAAAGCTCTGAGTAGTATTAGGAGCAGAACATGGTACCGGAAAGATTAATGTAATCATACTGATAATTGATTGAGGGAGTCAACCAATTGATGGGTGGAAGATATTGTACAAACCTAGACAAAAGGTGATGAGGGTCCCCATTAGTTTATTGCCACTTAGTCCCTCTGGTAGTACTTCTCTACCAGAGATATCTACTTATTTGTATTATAATTATTTTACTTGTCTCTCTGTTTTTCTTCACTAATAATATAGCACATTTAGGACTGGACCTAGACACTTCTAGTTATCCCTCAATATTCCTTCACTACAGTAATAAAACATCGCAAGTTTGAACTGGACACAGAGCTACCAGTTAAAGACTACATGTCCCAGCCTCTCTTATACTAGCTGTGGCTGTAAGACTAGGTTTTGGCAATGGATTTGAGCAGGAATGAACATTGCTGTTTCTGGGACATGCCCTCATAATGAAGCTGCTTGCTCTTCATTTCTTCCTGCCTCATTCTTGCAGGTTGCTCTGTACCCATTTTTCTCTCCCCTACCTGAAGCAGGCATTAGAGATGATGCCCTTTGGGAACAACATAGCTTTCTTCATCCTTTTTCCTAAGAGACAGGTATGTGGGCCTGGGAGTTGCTTCATGGGTCAAGCTTTCATATGATTTTGCAAAAAGGGAACATGTAGGTGTATCACTAAGTTCTGGCCAGTTGGATGAGAATGAAACTGGGGTGCTGTGTCTGGGTCATGACCATAATGGGAAGCTCTCTGCTTCCACTTTCCTCCTCCCTGAGGGCAGGTATCTGACCCTAGTGGTCTTGAGCCCACCTTGTCTCAGGTGTCATTTTACAGGATACAAAGCACAAACATGCTTCTATGCCCCTGCACCTACCTCACGGAGAAATGCTGCCTAACCTCCTGGGATTGCCTACAAACTTGAACTTCTATTATGAGAGAAACAACTTCCATCTTAATTAAGCTATTGTTGTTTGGTCTCTGTTAAAGCAGCCAAATTAATATTTTAATATATAATTTATAAATATTGATTACCATTGTGTGTTAAATGAGTACATGATTGGTAAATATAAAATACATTATACATGTAAAGTACAGTTTGAACTATCCCTTATCTGAAATGCTTGGGACCAGAAGTCTTTTGGATTTTTTTTTTATTGTGTTTTAGGTTTTGGGGTACATGTGAAGAACATGCAAGATTGTTGCATAGGTACACACATAGCAGCACGATTTGCTGCCTTCCTCCCCTTCACCTATATCTGGCATTTCTCCCCATGCTATCTCTTCCCAACTCCCCACCCTGTTTTTGTTTTTTGTTCAAATTTGGAATATAGTCGTCCCTCAGTCTCCATGAAGAATTGCTTCCAGGAAATCCTGCAGATACCAAAATCTGCAGATGCTCAAGTCCCTGATATAACATGGCATAGTATTTGTATATAACCTACACATTTCCTCCCATATACTTTAAATCATGTCTATATTACTTATAATATCTAAAACAATATAAACATCATGTGAATAGCTGCTACGCTGTATTGTTTAGGGAATAATTACTAGAAATAAAAAGCCTGTACATATTCAATACAGATAAAATTTTTGTCTCAAACATTTCAATCCAAGGTTAGTTGAATCCATGGAGGCGGAACATATGCAAAGGGCTGACTATATCTGTATTATATACTGGTTGTCATGCCAATTCCAAATATCTGAAATCCAAAATGCTCAAAAGAGCATTTCCTTTTAGTGTAATGTCAGCACTCAGAAACTTTCATATTTTGGACCATTTCAGGTTCAGACTTTTGGAATAGAAATACTCAACCTTTAATATTAAAAAAATATTTATTCCATTCCCCTAAACTTTAAGCATAAAGCATCTATAGTCTACTGAGAAGGAAAGCTGTAATAGAAAGCTTAGGCTGAATTCAACTTCTCTGTCACTATAACCCTGGGTCGATTTTCTAATTTGCTTCATGATAAGCTGGTTTAGCACAGGAAGCACCTGGCAAGATGCAGACCACACAATGCTGGGTTACTAGTCTCTGGTCATGGGCTCTATCACACTCCAAACAAGACCTTTAAAAGGAAAATGAACTATATGAAAACTTCAAATTATGTATCTTTTATATCTCTTTATAGGCAAGCATTATAGAAATGTAAATTTGAATATTATTTGATTGCAGGGCTTTTGTGATGCTTGTTTTCTTAAAGAATGCAACAAAAATTTCATGGAAACAAAGTCTACTTTCTATAGAAGAACAATATTTGATATTGAGATTTTTAAAATTTTGCCATTTACATTTATTACTTTTTCAATAGTTTTACACGCTCATATTCAGACTTACTGTTTAAGTATTTCTGCTTGCACGGCCCATTTGATGAAACATATTTATGATCAACTTTATGTACTTGTATCACTATTGCACTCAAAGAAATATCAGGAGTATCTGTATAGTTCCTTAGGATATATACAGTTCTTCATGTTTTAGGTGGAAGAGCATTGGAAAGTGACTTATCTAACTGGAAAAGTGGTTTGGAGGGTATAAGCTTTGGTGCATGAGGTTGCAATTAAGAAAAGCTAAAAATTGGCATATATATCCTGAATAGAAATACACCTTCAGAAAGAGATAAGGATATTTTGACTTTACAGTGCTGAAAAGTCTATACTGCTAAAGGTAAAAATGATGAAATGTAATTATTGGTTATGAAATTGAAAATTTTCATTTTCTGTACCACTGAAGTTATTTTATATAAACAGTATTGTCTAGCTTTCTTTTACCAAGATTTGATTGTTATTTTGGTTTTCCTTGGAGTACTAAGGGCAGAGACTTTGTTTTGCTGATCTTAAATCCTCAGAACTGTGCTTAGCAAGTACGAGGTATTAAGAAAAAAGAGAGAGAGAATTGTTGACTGAATAAATAGATGATGGATAAATAATGTATGCATTTAAGAATTATGATTTCCAATGGCAAGAAAGGTATTGCCAGTACGAGATTTTCCTTTAGAATAAAAAAGAGAAGATAATGGATCTCAAATAAGTTGTTTATAAAGAAGCTGCTTCATAATCAATTTTTTAAGTCTTGTAGGTATATTTATTACATTTGGCAATACAGTAACATCAGATTTTGCAGAACTATGTCTTCAGGTGTAAGATTATATTAAAGAATTAACCCGATACAAGAATTATGAAGGCAGGTTTAGGAAAAAACAGGAGAACTCTGCATTAAAAAATACTTGTGATATTAAACTATAACATTAAAAAACACCAAAATTGTAAATATTGTGTAGAAGAATAAATGATTAACTTCAATGGTTTTGGTATTGCTGATAAATGAGTCATCTTGACTCCTATGAGAACCAATTTATGTGAAATTCCATGAAAAAGAATTAGTTACAACAAGCAGAAATTTAGTCTATTTCCAAGAATTTTAACTACTGTAAATCACCTGACATATTTTCTAATAATTAGGATGTCATTTTGCACAGCTGCATGCAAATCTGGCCTAGGGGTCTCTAGGTAATCTGTTTCACTCATGTATTTTAAGTATGTAGTTTAGGAATAAGGTATTATTAGGTTTGCAACATATAAGCAAAGGAAATAATGTGACACTGGAAAACAACACTATTCATTTAACATAATGAATTGTCATGCAATAACTCAGATCTTCCTAGGGTGTAAATTACACAGATTTGAAAGCTGCATTTATTATTTAATGCCTCATTCCCAGACAGGTGCTGACTCAGTAGCAAAATCTGGCTGAGCATACCAAGTGTAAAGCTATTTAAAAAATAGGAAGGTTTTTAAAAAATACACTATCATACAGATAGCTAAAATATTTGTATGTATTTTTAATCTTTTTTCTTTAATGATATCTAGGATACTTTATTTTTATTACTACAAATAATAGAGACAAATTTGAATTGTATTAGTAGGAGAGATACATGAGCTAAAGCTTGTATTGTTTAAAGCACATCATCTAAAAAGGCCTATCAGGAAACTGTTCATATTAAGTTGGCTTCCAGCACTCTAACAAGCTGACATCATTTTGTAAGAGCCAAGTGTTGCAAAAGTGAATGCTAGGGTATTCTAAAATTACCTAGGTTGAAGAGAAGAAATTTCTTATTATAGGTTACTTAATGAGTTTATGTTCTCAGTTGTATATCAGCTCATGTTAAATTTTGCAAGAGTTTATGATTTCTAAGAACTCACCTACTATAAGGCTCTTTGCTGAGTGGGGATAGTTAGGAATTAGTAAGTAAAGGGGATTTTTTTCCTGGTGTAAATAGCGGAAACCGTGAGCTATCGGGGAAGTGCTTATAAATGGGCAGAGTACATCATTTGCCCAAGATTCTAACAACCTAGGCTGCCCTCCACACGCTGTGGGGTACCCTCTGCTACTTGCCAAGTAATTGCCATTTTTGGCAAAGACCACCCAGGGCTTGGGCTCAGAGTCCATCCTAGGGCTGGCCAACCTCTGTAAATCTCGTGTCCCCTGATTCGGAGCAAGTGCATTTAATTCAGGAAGATCACTTACGACTGAGTTTTTCATCATGGCTTTGACTGTGAAGCCCTCAGAAACCAGGGAGTGAGGCTGGTGCACCGGGAGAGGCTGTTGTGCCAGCAGCTTGGTCTTCTTCGGCATCTTGTCTGGGCATTTGTTTAAGCTCAGGGTCTCTTTTTCTGCCACCATCTTCCTAGAAAATATCTTGTTCTCATAAAAAGTGTAGTAAAAGAATCAGTGGGTTTTACGGATGTGAGCAGGAGGTCGGGAAAAAAAAAATGTCAAAAGGCGCGTTAATGGTAGAAATTCAACCCCTCGTAGTGCCCAGGTTGATCCAGATGTTTGGCAGCTCCTAGGTGAAGGGAGTTTAGGGGAGGGGCGGGGCGGGAAGAGGGCAGGACCGCGGCTAGAGCTGCAACAAGCTTCCAAAGGTAAGCCTCCCGGTTGCTAAGCGACTGGTCAACACTGCGGGCGCGCAGCTCTGCCCGCCTCCCCCGTGACGTATGCTTCCTGGGCCTGAAGCCGGAAAGGGCGGCTGCAGGGACGTGGGGAGGCGACGTGAGGAGAAACTACGCATTAAAACTACGACTCCCAGCAGGCCCCGGGCAGCGTACCGTCCGCGCGTGCGCATTTCTAGGGCCGGGCGCAGGGGCGGGGAGACCTGGACGATTTAACTCCGGAGAGCCGCTGGTGGGAGGCGCGGGCGGGCGCCAGTGCGAGCGTAGGCCTCTGCCTGCCCCGCAACCGCCACCTGCCCAGTGATCATGATAGGTACGTGGGTGTCTGCCAGGTACAGCTTCTCTGCGCCGCCCCTCGTCCCGGTTCGGTGCCACGCCCCGCCTCCGCCGACCGGGACCCCAGGTGCCAACTGTCAATGACGGAGCCAAAGTGCCCGAGCCTACCCCGGCCCACGCCGCCGGGCTCCCCAGTTCACTGACGCCGGCCTGGGGCCCCAGTGTGTGTGCTCCAAGCGCCCGCCCGCCCCCGCTCTGAGCGTTACCGAGAAGACAGCCTCGCCGGGGACGCCAGGCGGCCCCGCATCCCCGCTCCTCGCTCGCGGTCCCCCGGACCGTGCGGGGTCCGGAAGCCCTCGCCCCGCCGCCGTCCCCCCTCTCCTTCCTCCATCCCCTGGCCGGCGGTGGTCGTGCGGTTCAGGGCCCTTCTAGACCCACGCTCTGTGGGGCTCTTTCAGGAAACCCCAGCAAAGCACTAAACTCTTAATGGAAGGCACCTGGTGAGGATGGTTGGGCTCCGCAGAAACTCCTCCAGATGGATCTAAACTTCTTGCCCCCTTGGATGTTTCCTTTTCAATCTCTCGTTGAAGGTCTGAGGTGAAAGAAAAGAGTAAATAATTCCCGAGATTACATCTTCTGCCTTTTGCAAAATTACGATTTTTTTTTGGTAAAACCCAGAATGACCGAGGTGCAATTTTGTAAACGAAACTTGGTGGCTGTCAGAGTTGTTCGTGAACACTTGAGATGAGCAAAGGTCCTGCCTTCCAGGGTTGTTAAGCCAAACGTCGCTTTAGGGGCTAACCCTGAAAATTAATGGAAATGCGCCATATGTTTAGAAAACAATGCTATGTGAGATGTCATTATTATGGAGGTTTCTCCACGTAATGTATGGAGGGTTTAGTGAGCTCGTTTAGGGCTAATTCCTGAGGAGTGTCAGTTAGAAAACACTTTGGATTGTAGTAGGTACGTTCCGAATCAGATGCGGTCTGTCCGGAAGAAAGATGAAAGGTGGATTTATAATTACGTAATCTTTATGCACTGAAAATACTTCTTACATCTGCTTTTGTTTATGAAGTTATTGTTAAAATGTAAACATTCTACCCATCAGTGGGAGACTCAGGCCAGGTAACTGGCATTGTCTTTGTCTCTGTGGTAAAACAAGAATGTTGTTCAACTTTTCTTCCCTTTCTATCATGGTCTGACTTTTGGTGAGTGACTTGAAGGTTATCAAATAATGAAAAAAATTACAAATTTTATGAGTTTTCATGAGCTCTTTTTAGATGACATTTACGTAAGATTGACTTGCAATCACAAATCTGAACTGAATCAGAAAATCGAGTAGAAGAGGTTTTCCAGAATCCGTGCTGTCAGTAGTCTACAGGAAGAAAATAGCCTGTATCTAATTTTGAAGACAGTTAAACACATTTTATTTTAATTCAACTTAAGCTAATGCACAGATAATTTTAAGAGAAGCAAATTTATTGTAAAGCTATATGAAGACAGGCACTTAAAATCTAAAGAATATTACTCAGTTATAAATTATTACCTAATAAGTTATATAGATAGCTTTATTAGGCTGAAATATATTTGGGCAGTTTTGTTTAGTTTTATCTGGAATTCTTCTTCCAAGAAGGAAGAAATACGATCTTTGGAGTTGATGATTAAACAGTTATCAATTACTGGTAATGACTTGGAGAATAGAAGGTTGGTTTTAAAAAAGTGTTCTTTCTCTCACTTCAGCTGTTACTTTAAATAGTGCAAGTAACTGTGCATTACAATATAAATGACTAAATCCATGCCCGCCTTCCTTAGGAAATGTACCTTACATAAGAAATCGTGGACAATGTGCAATAAATTATTTTATTCAACTAGTTGCATTGCCTAATTCTGAAATTAGACACCTGTCTCTTTTTTCTTTCTTTCTTTCTTTTCTTGAGACAGGTTCTGGCTCTGTCACCCAGGCTGGAGTGCAGTGGTGCCATCACAGCTCACTGCAGCCTCCAATTCCTGGGCTCAAGTGATCCTCCCATCTCAGCCTCCTGAGTTGCTGTGACTACAGGTGTGTGCCATGCCTGCCAATTTTTAAGTTTTTGTAGAGATGGAGTTTCATTGTGTTGCCCAGGCTGGTCTCAAACTCCTGGGTTCAAGCAGTTCTCCTGCCTCAGCCTCCAAAATGCTGGGAGTACAGGCATGAGCCACTACACCCAGCCTCATTAGACACGTTTCAGTAAACATCTGAATGGCCAGTGTGGGATTTAGGTGTGGTGAACACTGCTAAAGGTAGATGAAAGTGAAAACGATGAAAAGGAAGCCCTGGAGTGATGGGTTTTGTGTTTTTGTGAAGATGATTCAGAGCCAGGAAAGACAATACAGACTTTACCCAGTGAGCGGTTGGAGATCAAAATGTAAACTGTATGTATCTGTGATTGTTTTTCTGTTCAAGGTAAGAGCCTTTCTCGAAGCTTGCTCCTTTCAGACCTACACTTTCTCCAAGTGCTAAACTCGCCTTAATGCAAATAATACTCTGCCACTTTATTTAAATTCTGGCTTCCTTTAAGGCGAAACATAAAGATGCATTTCCTGGTAGAAAAGGAATAAACAGGACTGACTGTGACCTCACTGCTAATGAAGTGTACCTTCCCTTGACTTTCTCAAAACCAAAGATTCTCTTCTTGGCATGAAGACTGTTTCAAAAATACTTACATTTCCCACTTGGATTGTGATTGATACACTGAATATCCTGATCCAGGCAGCTACAGAAACATAATTTAGTTAAAGCCTGTTAAAAATTGTGCCTTTGTGAGCTGGGTGTGGTGGCTCATGTCTGTAATCCCAGCACTTTGGGAGGCCAAGGCGGGCAGATCACCTGAGGTCCAGAGTTTGAGACCAGCCTGACTAACATACAGAAACCCTGTCTCTACTAAAAATACAAAATTAATCGGGCGTGGTGGCGCATGCCTGTAATCCCAGCTACTCAGGAGGCTGAGGCAGGAGAATTGCTTGAACCCAGGAGGTGGAGGTTGCAGTGAGCTGAGATCGCCCCATTGGACTCCAGCCTGGGTAACAAGAGCAAAACTGTCTCAAAAAAAAAAAAAAAAAAAAAAAGAAAAATTTTGCCTTGTGTAAAGTGTGGAGAAGGATTTTAGGACAATATAAAGCAGAATAAAAACGCCTAAAAGAATTCAACTTAGAAAAATGTAATTTTTGGTACCTCTATTAAAAATACATGTTAACTTTTTAAAAAATGAGTAGTTCTTTGTGTTTAAAATGGAATGTTAGTGGTGATATTTGTGGTTTATTCTAAATGTTCCGTAGAACTGGATTTAGGTATTTGAGTAACAGCAGATATTAGAGTGCATGGTTACATATACAACCATGTTGTCAGTATTGAAATACGCATTGTGTCTTATACTTTAAGAAGATTTTTGCCAGACAAAAACCAGTCATTGGAAGATAGTCTCTTCTATACCTTGTTTCACTTAGCATCTCTTTGAGAATTTACACATCTGCAGGTACAGATCCGCTCCACAGCAATTCCTGCCCAGTCTTTTATGGAATACACTAATTATGAAAATACTTACCAATAAATCAACACTCATTAGGTTTACAAACAGCTGTTATCTAAAATGTTTGTGGCCATATCTTTTTACTTGCATATGTAGGCATATATGTAAAATAAAAATCTTATGACAATTTCTGAGTTAGAGTTTGTAGATTTTAAATTTTGCTAGGTATTTCCAAATTTCTCTAAAAAAATTTCCCTATTTTTACAAGCCTATCTAAAGTCTCCTCTAATACAACATGGTAGTAAAGAGCTGCCCTATCTTTCAGGGCTGAAAATTCCAAAAGGCATTCTTCCTGAGACTGACTCAGCTTTCACTAGCGGAACACCTACTGGATTTCCAGTCCCCTGCCTCTCTGTCACCCCAGATGTAGTGCCTTTCAGCATACAAGCTGCACAACTGTCCTCGGTGGCCCTGCCCTTCCTTTCAGTGTATATGAGAGTACCTATTTCCTCCATCAAAGACTTTTTGCTTTTTCCCTCTTCACAGATGAAAAACAGCATCTTTTAACTTCTCAAATTAATATATGAAGAAAATTTTCTATTCTCATCTTATAATGCATCAGTTTCACAAAAGCAGATGCAGTGATTCCAGCACCTGCTGTGTGTCCTGGACTGCTCTAGGTGCCAGGGAAACAAGAGGGAACACAACAGAAGCAGTCCCTTCCCATCAGGAACGTACATTCCAACCTCACTATTTGCTCATACATCTACATATTTGTTTTCAAGCTTGCGTGCAGTGAATTTCAAAGTCTCAATTTGTATTTCTAGTTGAAAATACTGTGTTGAAAATACTAGTTGAAAATACTGCTCTTTGCCCTGCCATTTTAATGAGTTGATGAAAACCAACTCTGTGCCTAAGTATATGTTCTGTTTATGATGAGGAAAAATTGTGTCAAACATAGGCTGTACTAAAGTTTTGCATAGAAGATTTTATGTAATTATTTAATTCTTCTTCCTTAGGTCCAAAGGCTCTAAAATGACCCAATGCCCTTTACAATTTTGGCCCAATTTCTGAGAATGTTTTTGCAGTTTGCGTTTTTTGAAACCTCATAGCTTCATTGCTTGAAAATGATACAATGAAAGTATTTTATATTAAGATATGTAAATCAATTCCTACCTCCAAAGCTTCTTTGAAAAATGCAAAAAAAAAAAGTTCTTC